ACGAGCTCTTGTCATGGATGGTTTTTCATTTGCGCATGCATTTGCGCGAATAGATCCATTCGTCTTGGAAATCCTCGACGTCTCGAGGAGGAATTCTCGAGGAGCTCCTCTTTGTCCAGAGGCGGAGAGAAACACATGTCGACAGTAGTACCCCGATATTATTTACCCAGATGAGTAGTGGAGAGCCACCGTTGGATCGACGTGCTAGACTCTCGCCCGAATTCTGCGTTCCGTTCGAATTTATGAGAGGGAAATGCTCGCGGATATATTGTTTCGTCGGAAAGAACGTTCAGATTGTCGACCTAGTGACTCACTTTTCAGCCGGGGCAGTAGTGACAACAAAGCTCGTGAGCGCACTCTCGGTCGAACGCTTATAACAGGAGGCATTCAGGAGGGTTCAGAGTTTCACAGATCACTTGTGCACACGGAAATGAAGTCCCGTATGTCACGACTATTCAAACAATCGCTACAAGGATGAACTACACAGCTGAAATGCTTTGTTTGGTTCTACACGGTTCCGCCAGGATTTGACAGCTCCCACGTACACATTGCACTTGTTGTTGTTCTCGCGACGACGCGCGCCTGACGTCCTCGTCCCTCACACCGAGGGCTTCGCTCGGAGGCTGAGCATCCTGAATGCGTGTTTCAAGAGATTTGATCGCAAGGAACGAAAGACTGTTTCCTCCGTCATGCACAACAAAGCATGACGAGCAGTTGGGAAGGGAGTCCTTGTCGAAGAAAGTTTCAATTCCTTCCCAGCTCCGCCGATCGATTTCTGAGCAAGGTACTTTGTTCTTCCCGAACCTGTGCGCCTCGCATGACTTCTCCGCTGATCAGCTGATCTACAGACTTCGAAGTACCCTCTTCCGGCGTTTCGTCGAGACTCGGCTGTGGCCTCAGCGATGTTCCACGGCGCGGTCGACCGTTGTTGATTGTCCGATGGAATCTCGCCAAGGGAGCGTAGACACAGGGTTCCCATTCCTCATGGATGAGGGGATTGGGGGGAATCGAGCTTCGTTTTGGAGACTTGAGCCTTCGGATAGCTCCGCCAATTACGAAGAAGGTGCGAATCGCGTAATCTCGCTCGATCTTGATGCGTTTGATTCCGGAGCTCAAGTCCGACGACTCGGACTGCTCGAGCTCGGTCCAGAGCTGCGGAATTCGGGAAGCTCATTGACCTATAATGCTCATGAGGAGAGGCTCCCGCCGATTCGACTCGCTTCATTTCAATGCATGCCGGTCAACAGAGCAAGAAGATCTTTGATGAATCTTGATAATGGCCGCCTCGAAGAGAATACAGAATGAGAGGCCACTCTCGGCTCTCGGGTAGCCTCATAATGGACGGCATGGTGGCATAACAGCTGCGAAGAGCAGTAACAACCAGTAGCCTCTAGCAGAAAGCGAGAACGTGTTTCTCTTTTTCCATTTGTGAGTGAAAGTCTGAATGTGGGATCTAAAAATAATTTCTCCTTCTCTCTCGCTTGTTTGCTTACCTATCTAAATCATGCTTGCTCTCCGCGACAGAGAGCGGGCGTGTCTTCGGGAAAATAAAGACGGCAAGCAACACATGAACACGATCCACAGACGAAACTCAGCTCTGAGTTCTCTGAAAACGGAAAAACCGTCAGCGTCTTCTCTCCGCGAGATCCGCCGCAGAAATGAAAACAAACTCAGATTCGAGACTTAGATCCTCCCGTTCCACACCTGGATTAGCAGACGAGCATCAGAACAAGCAATTCCAAAATCCCCTCTCTAGACTCTAAACAGTTGAGGTGATCAAGAGCTCGAGAAGACGCGCTAGCCGGCTCTCAGAATGCCCCGTGAGCCCTATCCGTGTCGTATCCGCTTGTTCGAGGGTTCCTTCCTCCGGTGGGTGTTGCGCTTACGCCTAATCAGGCGACACTGTGAACATGCCGCGGCAAAAGCGTGCACCGATGAATAATTTTCGCTCGATCCGTTTGTCTACTCATCCGATTCCTTCGATCGACATCGGCTCGCCTCACTTGGCCGGAGCACGGCTCGGCTTCTTCGGAGTATCACGAATTACCAAATCGACATATTTTAGGGATCACATCGCGTTCAGTGGAGAACGTTCCTCGGTTCGTTCGATCGTCCGGCGATCTCGCCTCCCGCCAACCATTCGGAGCTTGATCTTCGCTTTCGGGATCACCCCGGGGGTTGACGGTGGTGCAGGTGGACGACATTTCGTTGGGAGAAGGTATGCAAGATTTTGGAGGGTCGGATAATGAATGGACTTTACTAATCGAATGAATTCTCTGTTTCCATTGATAAGGTTTTCCATGAAAACTCCTCTGAGACTCAATGGACGATTCGCTCCGTGATGTACATTGACCGAATGAACGGAAGAGGCTCTGGATGTTCTCGACGGACGGCTAAATACGATGCCAGGGAATCACGAGAGGGAGGAATCCTCTCACGATACAACCCATCTGGGATGGAGGAAAACGCCAACGGCACGGTGAAACGGTTCCCACGCGCACCCCACCCAGACATACGGCTCAATAGTTCATGTAGTCGGGCCTTCAGTGTTACGAGCGGTTCGACTTGGGCGTTTCATCTTACGAGTCGATACATATGTACTCTGGCGGTGCATTTTTGTCCGAGTGAGTAGAATGTGTCAGGGCTAGTCGTGCCGGTCTCGTTGCAGTTTTGAGGTTCGGTCAATGCCGCTTGCTACAAGTCCGCAAACTTAAATATGCCCAGTCTCCGGTACCACTCGAGCCGAGACCGAATTGACAAGCGGCGGCAGGCAACCGAGCGGCGGCGGCGACTACGACGGGGAAGCACATCGCAAATAGAAGAGAAAAAGAAACGAAGCAAACATCCCATGCAGTGGTTGCCATCACGCCAGGCCAGGGCCATCACTTGTGACACATAGGCGACATTTCTCATACACACTTAAATGCAAGTGTTTGTAAGAGCCTGAACAAACAATTATTCATTTATTTATTTATGTGCATATGCGTGTGGAGCGGATACCGCGACAACAAATTTCGCAGTTTCTGGCGCTTCCAAACAGCAGCACGTCGACCGAAGTCGCGAAGAGCGAGCTTTCTGCTAAGCAGATGCGCGACCCGCCCCATAGCTCGAACGAATGACTGATGAAGGGAGCGCCTCGAAAGTCGGGGGATCCCGGCCGGACGCTCTTCGGCTGGCCACGCAAGGTGTATTCTCGCGGAGAATAATTGAGCTTTCTCGGGAAAAATATGTCACTCGCGAGGTTTTTGGAATACTGTCCCACACCGGTTCACCTCGCTCAGTAAGAACCTCCTAGCGAAAAATATCGAGTCTCCGGTATTTCTCTTGAGTCCTTGCAGAGTCTCAAGTTTCGGATCGAATGTGGCTGAAAGAGAGCTGAAGCGGTCGACCGACAGCAGCGATTCCGATGTTACTACAGTACTTCTATTTGGGTCACAGGTGCAATGTGGTAATTTGGGACGGCGAGATCAGATTCCGCCCTGGCGACAGAACTCGAGCTCCTTCGAGATACTTTCCGCTCACCAGAGCTCTAGAAGCTTCCTCCCCTTGCCATTTGATGATCTTGGTCCGACGACGCCATTCGGACTAGGGGCTCCAGAGACTCTCCCGAGAGTGGCGGAGGAGATTCCCCCGCTCGGATGAGCTCGTAGAATCTCGACTTATTCCTGGAATTCCGGCGGGCCATATGGACACACACCATGACAGCTGATAGGAAATCTCGCTCTCTACATCGTTTCACTCCGGAACGATTGCGTGCTGGAGCAAGCTATTGAGTAGAGTACGAGAGAACGGGCCTTGACCGTAAATATCATAGAATCGTCGATAGAGTCTCCCCGCGCGATGCCCTCGCATTATTTGACTGTTTCGTCGGGACTTGGCTTTTGCCCCGCGAAGCTCCGTCGCTCAGTCAGCGATTTCACAGCGAGCTCAGCGAAGAAGCATCCGTCTCACAGGCATGGAATGGCATTCATCTGACTGATCCGCGCTCAGTGTCTCTCAGTCAGCTAGTCACCGTACTCGCTCCTCAATCCATCTGTCCGTCCGTCTATCTGTTCGTCCGACCGACAAGCAGGCCGTTTCCTTACGCGCTCGAAGCATAAGAAGCCGAATCGTGAATATTCAACGAGCGGCTAGGTACCCTGCACTCGGGCGACAAACATCCAGAAGGATCCGCGTAGCGGCTGACGCCAGGAGAGATCAAGGGTAAATAATTCCCCCACACAAAGAGCTTCAGAGAGCGAAGAGATTCTGAAAGGGCCCCGACTCGAATATCAGACACAGTTTACGACACATTGTCAATTGTTGCTATCGCCATTGACAACGGGAACGGTGCCGACCCCGTCATTCCGCCAGTTGAACGTAACCGCTGCCACGAAGGCAACGACGACGACGACGACGACGACTTACTCTGTACCCTCCACTCGTGACCTATATTAACCATGTGTAGGCATCTCGAAGGCTTCGATGCTGGCTGACGCCTACAACGACATTTCGGCCGCCGCCCACTCATCACGGCAGAAGTCGGTCGCCAATATGTCAACCCTTACCAGCCGGGTTGAGTAGGGAGGGAGGTAGGTCGTTCCACGCACAGACGAGGAGATGGATAAATGAATTAAATTAAACTGTTACAAGCTCATGTCGATGCATATCTAGGTCCTCGTTGCCCGCATTATGTGCGCAGACCCTCTGGGCTTCTGGCACGAAGCCGAGGATTGGCCTGTCGATCGCCACCAGATCGAGCTGCGGCTCAGCTCGGCCCACTTATGATTTAATCGAACAGTTATTGTTTGTATCTGCTCAACTGATTGGTGAATTGATTCTGTTGGTCGGGAGTTCATGGAAACCTTCGTCTCATCGCGAATTCCTTGCGGAGGATGCGGGCTGCCAGTTCAGCTAAAATTCCTTCTCCATTAGAGTAAATCAATTTTATTAGGTCAGTGATGTCCCTAAGGTATATGCAGGCAGGCACGGTGCTATCGAGCTTTACAGAGACGATTCTCTCAGAGGGTCTTGCCCTTGGTCTCAACAGAGACCTCCTCCTGTGAATTGGAATATTCAAATTATTAACAGCGGGTCCCGCGCTCTTCGCTTCACAGCGGTGGAGCGAATAGTGAGCATTGCGTTCTCACTATGCGCCTCCCCTACTGGATCGGGAGGCAGTCATCTCGAACATTCGGGACAAATCCTCTTCAATACGAAAGTTATTCGATTGATTCGAAGGCGTCACGTTGAGGTTTGCCACCGATGTAGTGAAGTGCGCTCTGACAGTCGGACGCTTGGCCACCACGAAAAGAAGAACGCATATGTTCCGGGAGAAGTTTTCGGCTCGATTCCGTCGTTACCACAAGCAACACGACTTTCCAAAAACACACGAATCGATGTACTTTGAAGCCGGAATCCGATCTGAATCCGTCTGTTGGGAAACGGACGGTCGTGGAAGATATCGGAGTGACTGTTTGACCGACCACCCAACAGACAAATAGACGAACGCTTTCGAGCAGATAGTGCAATTCGATCTTCACAAGCGGACGGTTTCTGTGGTTTCCAGCCGACGGACTGCATTGCGGTTTGCGGCGACCGTATTCAAGACTTCGTTTCAACTTCTTCAAAATGATCCGACTCAGGGAACTTTTCCAAAGTCGTCGAATGCGGAGAAGATGTGGTTTGCCGCGGAATACTTTGTTTCTTCCAACAAGGATTTTCGTTCCGAGAGCGTGACTCATCTTTCGGAAATTCTTCCCGAGCTCACTGCACGGCATGGCATCGTGATATCCCCCACCACGTAGGCCTATTTATGTCTTCATACGGAACCCACTCACTTCATGTCGAGATTTCTTCAGCTGATTGTGTAGATCATCTCCCTCGTCCAGGGAGGAAGCGAGGGACGCTCCGTGATCGCCCTTCGCCTGAGCACCTTCTCTGCGTTTCTTCTTCTTTCCTTGTAGGCGTTTCCGTTTTTCCTCCACGTCGTCCCTGGCAGTTGCGCGGACTTTTGGACCCCAGTTTCGCTCTGGGTTAATTTGGAACCTGAATTGAATTTAGACAGATCATGAGAGGGGGCCGACTGAATAAGCCGGAGCCGTATGCCCCAGCCGTTCGCGCGGAAACATTCGAGACATTTCATCGGGCCGATTGCGCGGGGTAAGTCATGGGAACGAAATCATGTGGCTCATGCCGCCCTTTGAAAGGGTCTCCACATCTTCGGACGATGTCTCATGAACTCGACCAGTTACATTGGGATTCGAGCATAATGATCCCCCGCCATGAAATTAATTATTCGTAGTAATTCTCTTCGAGGTTTCCGAGATTAGATGATGCCTTCAGTACAATTGTGCATTCAGATCGGAGGTCTTGCGACATCGCGCCATAGTTTGCGAACCAACATGAAGAGAGCCTCGGCGAGCTCTTCGTCAACAGTTTCGACAGCGAGTGTTTCGCTCAATACGATCAGAAGTCCGAATAGCCTAAATCAAAGCTGATCGGATCACTGATCTCTGATCTGTACCGCGACTCCGTCAATGCATCTGACTTGGAGCGAATCCTCTGAGCCCCTACGATCTCCTTTCATCTTCAGCGTTGAAATACGGTCAAAACTTATTAACTTTGTTATTGGTCGGCCATCTCGCTGCGATGCTTGTTCGGCTCAAAACGTTCTGATCAGATCAGCTCGTAGCTTCATCGTTCTACGGGTCGTCTACGGCTATCCCAAGAGAGTAGGCGGGGAGTAACCGGATCCCCATCAGGAAAACTGATCTCTACACCGCACCCCACCTGGAAATTGAGCTCGTCCCGATACTTCCCGGGGCAAGGTGGAGCAGTGTTGCCCCACATGGGCAGCAATTTCATATTCTGGACGGGAAGTCTTATCGGCCATAGAGAAAGATCACAGTTCCGGTTCGATTGAGATTCGGACTCGACCGCCAGTCTCCTTAGAAATATCCGCTGGACGAAGCTTGTTCACACCGGGACGCGGCAAGAAGGGAAATGATGATGGAAGTCAGCTAAGTCTATTAGGAGACGCACTAGACAACGAGTAGGTATTTTTTTTCCGCGTTAAATATAGTTTGATGCTGTACCATTCCTGGATGACCCCACTACGATACCCAGCTCGCCGTCTCGAGGAAGGAAGACGACCGAATCTAACGTACCCGGAATCAGACCAATGCCACTCACAAAATCCAAGGGTTGGGGCTCGAGCTATTGGAACTCGCCGTATCCGTCACGCGTCCGCCGACGTAATAAGCGCTCGGGGGGCTCTTCCAGAACGTTTTCGCTCCACTTCACGACCGAATTTCAGACGTCACCAACTGTCTCATGTAAACACCGATTTTGGCTCAGGAGGTTTTCTGAAACCTCGTTCTCGATGTCAACCCCAAATGCCGCTGGCGTCACCCCGCCCTGGGCCCGGCCACACGCATAGGGACGTAACGGGTTTCCTATGATACGTGGACCTGACGAGTGAAAGTCTGATTGTTCTTGGTTTTGACAATACTCTGGATGGAGTTTGATTCCCAATAGGGCAATCGTCCCCATTGAGGAGAATTGGACAAGCGGAGGGAGTCAAATGATTCGAGGGATCAGCTCGGCTCTTTGCTGCAATTCGACTCAGGTGCCTTTGCTGGCTTGGAATCTCGGGAATCCCAGCTATGTCTCAGTGATCCGAGAGGTCGAGGCCGAGTAAATAAATCGAGCTAGTGACAGATTTCGTATATTATCTATATGCAGTATTCCCAACGTCGCTGATGTGCTCCTGTGGCACAGTTCCTGCTCCCAGTGCCACCAAAAGAGCCACATGGTCGTCAAGATGAGCGACCAGAGAACATTCCTGCGGAGGTTCCTGCAAGCTGACAGGGAATCGAAAGCACGCTCACGATTCGCTGCAAGATTCCAAAATCCGAGGGGTGCATAGCTTCGGGGTTCACGGGGGCGCGTGATCAGCTGTCGGGGGCCGCGAATTTCAAATTATTCCCATCGGGGCTCGAGTACAATCGAGGTCGAGCGGCCCTCCGCGGAGCTGCCGCTACCGTTAGCTGACCCACGTCTGAGGGTAACGGTCTTATTTACCCGAATACCTGAACATCGGATCCAGCGGGCTCCGCCGATTGCTTTCACAAACCTTAGAGTCTTGTCCTTCATCGACGGCGCGATCGCGTCGGGTCTCTCGGTGAAATTCACCCTGGTTTTGATGGGTCGCGAGATAACCATCGCGGCTGGCGGGTCTCTAGGCTTGTCCTTGTTCTGCTGCAATTCAAACCGGAGGCGTCAGGCACACTGCTGTGTTCATGTTCTGCTCCATTGTCTGCCGAAGGTACTCACATCGATCACCCATTGTCTCATGATGTCCCAGACTACGTCCTGAGGTGCGTCTGTTTTCACTGATGATCTGTTTGTATGAGAAGAACTGACTCTGAAGCCTGCGTTGAGCAAGGCAGACCTCAGTTTCAACATAGGTAGGGAATTTGTCCGGAGAACCTGCGGCAGGAAAATTTTAATCGAGATTCGAAATTCGCAGACTACAGTCCATCAGAATGTCCCAGCCCCGGAAGACGAGGCTATCGAGTAGTTTGTGAATAACCCGCTCGATTCGCTGATTCCCGTGCGTGACGAACCTGTGATAGTTTCTCCTGAGCGTAATGCAAGGGGACGTCGGATAATTCTTCGGAGACTACGCTGAGCATTCCTTGCATTCTGCGCAGAGTCTGAAATTTGCTAGCTGGATCTTGTTTCACGTCGCCCCTCAGAGGGATGATTTCATCGGTTGAGTTCCGATTGGCCTCGAAATTCGGCAGATCTGTTGTCTCGAGCTGCGTTGCTCCTCTGAGAGATGCTCGCAGACGGGACACGAAATCCTTATTGTGTATTGGATCCGTATAGATTGGACCTCCTGTGGTGGAACGGATCATTCGCTCGTTAATTGAAAGCCACGTGGGTGCGTCACTGTGAGCTCGACCTGATGGATGATCCTCTTCCGGAAATCTAACTTACCCAAAGTGAACGTCGATCCACAATTCTCACAATGCGAGCCTATCGGGGGCCCTCTGGCGTTCTTGAATCCGGTTCTATTGGCCTCGGTGACGACCGTTCCCATCGGTTGCAGATGAAAATTCTCGCAGTGGTTACAACAATAGACTAGTGCCATCTTTGAACTGGAATGCTTCACGGTCTTTGCCGAAGTCTCGATCCGGACAAACACTCGGATGTAGAAATCAACCGATAGGGAGAGCAGGGGAATGATGTATCTGCAACGGGGTGAGTGATGAGCTGCTTACGATCATACTGCTGATTGATTTGCTCGACTGGATATCTTCAGTCCCGATCTTCATCGAATTAACTCACCTTCCGTGACGATTCGCAGCCGACTCAATGCTGCATAACAAGATTCGGAGCGCCATTTCGTGGCAGAACTTCGACTTCAACGGGATGGAGCCGTACTTTGCTCGACAGGTTTCGGGGGAATTTCCGCAAAGGATCGCCATATCCGTCGCCGTCACGCAAATGAGACCTCCCCCCTGAACGACTTGGACCGCAGGATCGAGGAATTTCGCGGCGCAACCGTATGGATCGAGGTCTAGAAGACAGAGGAGACGATTGTACGAATAAATTTCCAGCGGACATTGAAGAGACGGTTTGAAGTTTCGCGCCAGCGAGGAAATCGCTCGACTGCCTCTGAACGAGATTCAAGGAAACGATCGGACTCACCGACGACGTCGAAGAGCCTATTTTCAGCTCTTGATTGGTGCATGTACAATATGGCGTCGCCAAGATTCGGTCTGATTTTGTCGCTGACCGAATTCAGCTCGGCGTTTTTTCTAATCGATTCGACGGCGCTTTTTGAGATGTCATTCGCCACGATCTCCTTCACGACGTCTGAGTCTATCTCGAGCGCGTACCGAATTGAGCGCAGACCGGACGCTGCCAGGGCCTCGAGAATTGATGCTTGAGGATCCCATGTGGTTTTGTTCTGAAATGTTTCGGAACTCCGTGAGCGGCCGAAGGATCGGAAGATTGACACTCTCGCCGAAATACGCAGCGAGCTTAAACCATGCTCGCCCTGGAGGAACGTCTCGTGTGGCTCGGGAGCGCATCTCTATGGGTTTCAAAGGTGGAAGTCGAATAAGCGCTCAAACAGTCTAAAATTCCGTTCCCGTTAGAATTTCCGATAAAACTCACATTTTCGATAATGAACTCTTTCCTCTGCCGGAGGTGCTCATTGATCACGGCCGTGCTGCAATCGTGAGGAAGTCAGCAATCCATTTTGACGCTCGGGACGATTGAGGCTCGCATTCGAAATGCATGATTGCATTCGTCTCACCTGATGTCACGGTTGAAGCATTGCACTGGATTGTAGAAAACACCCTGATCTTTCCTCAGATGCACTACCGCTCTCCCTTCCGTGAGCTCAATACCGGGAACACCTGACTCGATCTCGATCTCCTTAAGTTTGCCTTTCGACATGACTCGGGTCGATGAGGACGATCGAGAACTGAATAGCTTTCTTAGTGTCCCATGAAAAGATTCCCTAAAGCAAAGCGTTTGTTTCACGTGCCTCATCGAGGCGGAGACCACACGCCAACGACAACCACGATCGACTCTACCGCTCGAGAGTCATTGGAGCAGTCATCTGAGCAATCCCAAATCGAGAGTCCGAGGAAATTTCCGAGCGCAACAGAAACAGCCGGAGCCGAAGCCTGCCCAACCTTCTTTGGAACACTCTCCAACAGAGAGATTCTGGGGGATGCATGTGCGCGGACGTGTTTTGTTTTTTGGCGCGCGGTAGACTGCAACCCCGCTCCTGAAGTAAATAAAACAAAGGTCAGTATCGAATGTTCCGAAAGCCTTATCCTCAAGGTCCCCAATAGAGGCCGGGGCTCAGACCACTCGACGATCCCTAAGAGAATTCAATTGATTGACCGAGATTCCTAAATGCTCTGGTATTTATTTTCGCTGGTAGAATCCAACGAGCACAGACCGAGCGAGTTTCTCCATCAACATGTGCTCTTGCACCCTCGCCGCTGAGCAGGCGTAGCAATCTGCTTGGACGTGCGCCGGATTTCGGTTGTTCCTTTCAAGTTCTGGAAACCCATCAAAATGACTACGGCAGGTCTGAACTTCATATCTTCGATATGTTGGGTAAAGCAAGGAGCGGCCATGAACGTGCCTCACAAGGTAAGTCGGGCAGTCGAGGATTTTTGGATATACCGCAGAGAATTAAAACCACCTTCACAGATGAGAATCATCTACAGAAGAATTCCCTGATATGAACATGATGTAGGACGACTCGATGAGTAAATGTGCGAGGATCTCCATTGAAGGTTAAACTTCGCAAGGAGGAGATCCAGAAGTTCCTGAACGATCCGAATTTTGATGAGAACAGTGGCGATGAAGAGGTGGACGACGAGCAACAAGACGTCGAGAAGAAGTACAATATGGACGATTACGACAATGAGGACGTCGATACCGTGGGTCAGTCACTCGAAGTATCAGACTTGTCAACCTCCCACTAGGGGACGGGAGGCTGCGTATCGTTCCCGGCGAGGGTGGAACTCATGACAGATCTGTTCACAGGAGCTCAGCTCGCCGGCTTAGCTTGCTTCGCCTCGTCGAGCGAAGATCCAAATCTCAAAGATGATGTAGATTCTTCTGATTCCGAAGATGAGAAGGAAGCCTTTCATCTCCAGGACACCGATAACTTGATCGTTATCGGTCGCGTCGATGATGACTGTGCTGCGCTAGAGGTGGGCCCGATTCTCGAATCTTAGTCAAGGTGTCCGATCCGAATCGGTGCGCGGAAAATTCTACGAGGCGAAATTCTCATTCTCTCTCCGCTCTAGGTCTATGTTTACAACGAAAGCGAGGGTGACATGTATGTCCATCACGATGCGATTCTACCCGCCTATCCCATCTGCATGGAGTGGCTGAATTATCACGTCGGTGAACAGGACGGAACAACTGGCAACTACATCGCTGTCGGGGATGTTGGCCCGGTCATAAGTATCTGGAATTTGGATGTCGTCGATCTCCTGGAGCCGAGCATGAAGCTCGGCAAGAAGGAGAAAAAGAAGAAAAAAAGCAAGCCTAGGGTGAAAGGTTTCGGCCATACCGATTCGGTCATCTCATTGCATTGGAACAGGTAAGGCGGCGATTTTCGCTCCGACGGCAAGGAATCCGTCATCCGCGTCAAATTTCCGTTCCCGAAAGTGGTAGATTGCTCTCTCAATGGGATGCGTCTTCTTTCTTTGACAGGCTCGAGCGCCACATCCTCGCGTCGGGCTCGGCAGATAAATCGGTCCTGCTGTGGGATCTGAACACGGCGAAGCCGACCGTGACCATCTCGGAACACACGGATAGGGTTCAAGGAGTTCGGTTCCATCCATTCGAAGCCCCGTCGCTCCTCTCGGCATCAGCGGACGGGACGGTCAAGTTATGGGATGTTCGAGAAACGAAAAGCAGTTGTCGGAGTTGGGATGTGGGGAACGAGGTGGAAAGCGTTTTGTGGGATCACTTCTCTCCGTTCCACTTCTTCGCTGCGAGTGAGCCCGGCAGCATCTTCGCTTTCGACGTCCGACAGGCTTCGACCCCGGTATTTACCGTCTGCGCTCACCAAAAATCTATTTCGTGTGAGTTTCAGAAACCCGTACCGAAACCCGATACACCCGTGTCCGATGGGAAATCGCACTAAGATAAATACATATACCCAATTTTCCCGATCGCTCGCACTGTATAGCTATTATTATACACAGTAGGAGGTTTTCGTGAAGACTTAGAGAGAGAACTCACAGATCCCGATTCCAGGCATGTCGTTGTCCAGTCATTGTCCCGGATTGATGGTGACCGCCGGTGAAGACCAACTCATAAAAGTTTGGGACGTAGAAGACAAGACAAATCCCAAATTCATTCTTGAGCATGCTCTGGATATCGGTCGTTTGTTGTCGCTCGAATGCGCTGTTGATCAACCTTTCGTGATAGCTATCGGCGGCGATGAAGGCGAGAACAACTTCGTGACATTCGATCTGATGAAAAAGTTCCCCGCTCAGATGGAGGCCTTCAAAGGGCGGCGACTCATGAAAGTCGTCGATACGGTCGAGAACAAGAAAACTTCGATCACGGTTGACGGTGAGTTAGGAATGAAGCGCACGGTCCGATAGTAGGGGGGATTCCCGGAGAGGCGATTATATGAGTTTTCCCCGTCGAAGTCCAGTCATTGAGGGGTGCGAACTTTTTCCTTCCAGCCGCCCGAGATGACGATGAAGGCATGGACTCAGACAACGAGGAGGAATGAGCTCTCTTCTCACATTTTCTTGTTCGGGGGAAGGATTTCGTGTAAATAAAGCTCGAGGGTGAATATTCTCCCATCTGAATCAAGTATTCTCAATCTAGCCAAATGAGCAAATGAGCTCCGTATCACAGCGTTCTGTCTCGGTGCCAGCTTTATTGTGCCTCCCTTTTGAACCAGTATCTCTAGTTGCAATCTAAATAGAGCCTATAATGGAAACCGAGGTAGTTCCGCATCTTCAACTTCATAGATCATCACCGCCGTCATCCGAGAAGTCCTCCGACACTGGCTGAGCTTCGGCTTCCCCGAGCTGAGCTCTTGAACCAGCACCAAGAACGGATTTGTGCATGTCGTCGAAGGGGTTCTCGCGCTCGAGCGATTCTTCTTCTGCCCTCAGACTGAGAGCTTTCTTCAGCTCGCAGTAATTTTCATGAACGAACGAGAGCCGCTGCGGAAAGAGAAGTTATACGCATCGTTGGGGCTCCCCATTGTGGACTCAATTCGATTCTCGCGATTCGGATTTTGCAGGCGGGGACTGCGCATTCAAGAGCTTGTGAATTACCTAGGTATCTTACCCGGAAGAGGTCGGTGCTGGTCAGGACATGTCTGTGGCTGGCGATTTTGTTGTTGAGTCGCATTTTCCGATGGGTTGACTGCTGAGGATCGAGGATGTAGGATTTGAAGCCGTATGAGCGCAACGTATGGACGTAGTGAAAGGCGCAATCCGCTTGCAGCCTTCTAATCGCGTATACAATGTCAGAATGGTTGTCTTTCTGGCATGTGTTCAAGAATGCCTCTAGTCGCTTCTCGTCATCGTATCTTAGACGGATCTGTAAGGATGGATTTCTTTCGATTCGATTCCGGAGCAAAGCTCACGCTTCACAGACATCCCCACTTCCGAGAGATCCGGGTCTAGTCAACTTACCGGAACCCGAGGCCTGCATGTCTGACAGTAGTACGAAGCGTACAACATGTAGACAATGAATATTTTAGCAATTATCACCTGAGTATCCTCGAATTCTAACAAGAGAATCTCACAGATGTCTTCCATGAAAATTTTCGCATTCGTTTCAGATGCATGTCTGAAGGAAAGAAAATCAGACAGTTCCATTCATGCTCCGATCAGGGCGAAACCAAGCACCGGAATGCAGCATATTTAGGTCATCCGTGTTGATAGGGTATACATACCCCTGGAACAACATCGACGCCCCGAGCTCACGGAAGGTTGTGCTGAAATCCTCGAACCGTGCACTTTTTTTCGCTTCGAATGCGAAACGGATCTTACTGATATCTTTCAGCAGGGCATCCAGAGATTGGGTGACGATGTTCTCGAGGAAAGTTCGGGTATCACGCTTTACCCGGGTGGAACTGTGGGTTGCCATGCTGCGTCATCCGAGAGTTTCGTGATGTTCAGCGACGACTCACTTCTGCGGCGTTTGACTCCTAGCGCGGAGGAGAATCGCGATCGAGGGGATCAATAAGAATCCGATGGTGATTGCGCTAGGTTCCTCATGACAAGCGCAGCAAGGAATATCCTGATTCGACTCGCGTCAGGATCAGAGCCAGGATGGGACACATTCGATTACCGGAAAATCGGTTCAAGTCTAAGCATGAGCGGAGAGGATTTCCTTGTTGACCAATTGCCACGGGAATAACCCGGTAGTCTCCTGTTTTTCCCAAGCACTCGGCAGATTCGGTTCTGTGATGAGACTAGGACATTTTCCGAAGTATGCATATGAGGTTGGCGGCTGCCTGAAACGATGGCAGAGTGCTGAGAATCCAAGACCACGGTGATGAGCCCCCCGTCGAGTGCGCGGGGAGAATCGACAGGAGCCGAGGTTCAGCTCATTCACGCTTCCGCAAAGAACTTACCCGCAGAATGGATTTGACGCTAGATCTGTCAGCGGGGCGATTTTGAATTCATCACGGAGGATACGGCATCTAGAACTCGGATTGCGGAAGCAGCTTCCACGGTCGCGAGAAACGCGTGTTCGTAGTTCGAAATCCTTAGCAGACAGCCTGGCACCACAACAATAATATCCGTAGCTCTGCGCCCCGACACCAATTTCTTGAGAGATCGGAGAAACTTCGGTCACGGATCCCTCCCGCGATTCCATCCGACTCTTGCAACGAAGTTCGCCACATAGTATGAAGATTGCCCCACAAGAGGAGCATCTGTGATTTTCGGGAGTCAATCCCTGCGACATGCGACGGCGGATCTTTTCATCTCCTATAATGCGCTGATCTCTCTGGCAAGACTTCGCGGTAGCGTTCAGATCATCAGGTTTCAAGAGTGTTCCAAGCGCAAACTTGAGGTGCCGGTCTCTTGAGGTGCTTAAGTCAACCCATTTTGCGCTGCGTCAACGCTCGCATGAGGGCGACTTCTTGCGAATCTGACCGAAGGCTTTGACAAAATCGTACTAACTCACAGAGGGAAGCATGGCCATGCAAGTCCCCATATCCTTCACCGTGATGGAGATTGTGCCGACCGCGGAAAATAATTCTTTCCGGAGGAAGCCGCTCCGAGCTGTGCCTGGAGAGAAAATTTCCCATCTGAGAGCGATGAGCGCGGAGAGTTTCAACAAGCAGTCGAGTGACATCCAGCTGGTCCTGTTCGGTAAGACTTCTCCAACATCCGGATCTCGTTCAACCCTCGGCTCGTGAAGCCAGCTGATCGTTTCAGTTTTTTTTCCGAATCTCAAATGATTCCATGATCCTCATGTTGAACAGGGGGCCTCCCGGATTATTGGGAGGAACTCTCCCGTGGAATACTGAGTGAAAATTCGCTCAATTTGTGTCTCGATGTTCTCAGGAAAAATCCTCGAGGACGCATGGACTTTCGAAGCTGCTGGAATCAGGGAAGGATCTACCGTGCTGGTTTACCCTAAGGTGTCATCGCCACGGAGAGCACCACAGAACAAATACGAGATCCAGAAGAAAATTTATAAGGGTATCACCAAACTGTATAAAATGAAATACCTCAATATCCTAGGTGAGTTGTCGTGCGCTGTCAGTAGTCGACAATGGTTTCCGTCATGGCGAGTCCATCATGAATCATGACTAGCTATATTGGAATATCAGCTGATCACACAGAGATTGCGAACTTGATGATCGATCTCTTGCAGCCAGGAGCGAGTTTTTGGAGAAGATATACTTCGAAATGCCGGAGGTAGATACTTCAACCATCGCGCTGCTGCAGACCTCGCAGCTTTTCGTCAAATGGCTGCGGCCGAAGTACTGCAAGGAGCTCGATGTACTCGCTGAGAAGCATCCTCTGCTCGGGGACGTCTTGATGAAAGCCATCGATTGGGCTCCAGATTTGCTCAAAGTCATCCCGCCGGAGTCTCCGAACGTGTTCTCGATGGAGGCGCCCAGCGACGAGTCAGATGATGAGTCGTTGGACGGAGCTTCCCGTGCGCCCGGGGATCGGCATCCACATGGCGCAGATCTCACGCAATCGACAGAGACCGCGACGGACAGCGTCTCGAACGTCTCAAACTCCCGGAGCAATTTGCAACCCGGGCCTTCTGTAGAGTCCCAGCCAGGTAATGCTCTTCCGGAGCTCGACGATGTTTGGCCGTGGGTGGGATTATCCGTTTCTGTCGTCCCAATCTTCACCGGAATTCAATTCATTACAGGTCCTTCACGTGTTCGGAGAGAGAGGGGAGTTACGGGTCCGATGCTGCAGGCTGCGCTTCAAGCGGCCTATAGCTCCCAAACGGAGGTGGCTTCACAGACTTTCGCTTGGCAGCTCATCGCCATGCGAGAAATGGGTTTCTCGGACGAGAAAGCCTGCATCGGCGCACTAGTCAAGAGCGGAGGAGACCTTGATATGGCTGTCAGTTTGCTGTTTCAAGATTGATCTCGTATTTCTAGGATGCTCGAGACCTGATTCCCTGAAAACTACCTTGGGGGCCAAAACCGGCATCCGGGAGTTTGGGCTAGACTTTACGTGAAGTACCGCCTGCGTGAGTCATGCGATTTCTGCATCGCTCGCATTATTTGAACTTATTTCGGAGCGATTGCCCGCTCGCTCGCACTCTTGGAGCCTTTCCGACATGCATGTAATAATTTTCCGAGTAGATGAATTGTGACAGAAATGACGGTATCCTCGAAAATCTCTCGTCCCCGTCGCGAATCTCGACGGAATCGTGCGTGAAGCCTCTGGAAAATAAAAGAGAGTGCACCAACTCGAGATTTTACGGGTTTATTCAATTCAACAAAACAATCCCTACAGTGTTAGCAGATTTCATGATACAATTAGAAAATCAGATGACATGAAAAACAACTTCAAGCCGCGGAATGAATCGGACGTCATGGAGGAGAAGAATGTTAAGATTAGGTGTCACGGCTAGCCAATTTCAAGATCAGCTCCTTGAAATGACGTGCGTATCAACAGAGAACTCAATCGCGACTTCAGGTAAATTTTCGAGAGCAGAACATGGCGATCGATGTCGTGAACACGAACGAACCTATCGAGACTACATGAGAAGAGGTATGGTTTGCTTGGATGGACCTCAACCGATCGGACCGATCCCGCGAAGCCCTTGAAGCAATAAACCAGTTTCTGCATCCGAAGATCGAATAGTGCTACACGACCATGCGTATTCCCCGCGACGATGTTGTGCTCCCGGTTGGGTACCAATGACAGGGTCGTAATCGGGTACTCGTCGAAGTCAAGCTCGGACACGGGCCGTCGCTGCTGACCTTTAGTATCATACATGCGTATTTTATTGTACCCTGTCCCGACAATGATTTTCGAGTCGTCGACGAACCTAAAGTCCGTCACCCAGACAGGCATTCGGAGATCCAGCTTGTCATTGCGAACATTCTTTGCCACAAACACAGGTTGTTCAGGTTCTGCTAAGTCCCACAATTTGAGATCGTTTTCTTGGCCACCGGTAGCGAATCGATCGGAGAAGGGGCTCTTCCGCATCCGACACACGTCCTTCCCGACGTCGAGTTCGATAGGTCGGCTGTTACGCCACACGCGGAACGCTCCAGATCTTGAACAGGTCACCAAATTCTGATCCAAAATTTCTAGTCCTTTGATGGGACCTTCGCCGGCGGTCACGTCCCGCGTGTCTAATAGGAAACCGGTGTCGGCTTCATATGTTGCAATAACCTGAATGGAGTCATGGCATGTGTCAGTCACGGTTAGAAACGGGCCGCCCAAGGAAGTTTCTGGTCCTACAGCATCACGGCGTATATATCCTGAGCGAAAAAACTGCGACTAGGGAGCCTCACCTGATTTTTTAGCGCACAATGTATCTGGCTCTCATCCTCGTTCGCCCATATCATCACAGTAATTTCATAATCTCGATCGAGGTTCGAACCCTTGTTCAGGTTCGCGAAACTTTTCTTATGGATGTTTATACCCTTCAAATAGCCGGTCTCGGCACCACAATACACGTGGTACGTGTCGTCCGACGATCCGGGCATATTCTCAGCCGAAGCTTCCTCCATTTGAGAAGCCGCTTCGAAGCCTTCCCGGCTCCCGATTCAACAGCGCTCCAGGTTGACTTCAAGCGGCTCAGAGTTCCGCGACAACCCGTCAATTCACAATGCGAGACACCGAACCGTACAACTATAGATCGGTTACTGTTCAATCGCTGACAGAGAACTTATTCTCCACGCGTGATGCCTGCTCATAGAATGCTCCGTTCCGCAAACGATAAACAAGCTCCGTGTTTTAAACATCGAGTTCCGCGACTTAGGGAGCTCCTTCGGGGTGAGGGCGAGAGCCCGTTCCGCGTCAAGGCGGCGAAATCCTCCGTCCGCGCGTTAGCGCATGGAAGAGGCGAACCCGAAGGTTCCGCTATATATTCGAGAACACTATTCTCGGGAATAATTTGCGCGCGAATCTCCTCGTTCCAGGGCAGGAATCCGACGAATCCCTCATGGCGAGAGGGGGCGGCCACTCCCTCCCAAGAGTTCTTCTCCTCGCATAGTATCAGGTGGAGAGTTGTCATTCGGGGAGAAAGCTACCGATGGCGTCAGTGATTTAATCAGGCTCATCGAGAGGCTGCTCGCAGACGCGAAGTGGATTTTTCCATGTCGGAGCTCTCGTTTTTCGTTGGTCCCGGCTTCGGATCGGGGAGTTTTCCACTTTTCGCTGCTGGAATGGACAAAATTTTTGCCTAATGAGGCAGTTTCTCATGAGGAGGAGACACAGCGCATCTCCGGACTCCATGCTGACATATCGTCCAGTTCGAACGGCGGCATACACTCCTCAACGGAGCGTTGCTCACGAGCGGTGAGCTCGCAGCGCTCAATCAATCAGGCGCATGCAGAAGCTGGGAATGATCAACTGAACTGAAATGTCTAATCGCTCCGAAATTCCACCGGAGCCAATAATCGACCCATATATCATGGGTAATTCCTTCTGCGATTCCGCGGAATAGGTCGACTCGTGCGATTCGGTGTCGAGGCTCCGTCGAACTTGAAGTTATCATGAAGTGCCCGGAGGGTATATACCGCATCAGACAGGATTGCATCCTCACTGCTCCTCCAACATGAACGGAGCGAGGGGGTCCATGGTGCGCATTGTGCAGATTCCGAAATTATACCGCAAACATCTCCTCCGGCTAGGCTAGGCAGCCAGAGAGGTGACAACAATTAGGAGCGGCGAAGGAGCTTCATGACCCTACATCCATGGAGAAATCAGCTTGCTCGAATTTCCAGGCCGGACCTCATCCTCTGAGCTTCCCCGCGCCACCACTCGAATTGTTGAGAATCTTTTCCCCTTCCCGGGTTCGTCTGCGTGCTCCAGTCAACAATAACAGTCTACCGAGCAGATGATGGTGTGTTTTTCTCTCCGGCTCTGTTATTCACAAGCAGAGAGGCACCGGGGGTGCGTAGGTTGTATAGAGAAAGGAGAAACACGCCAGGAATTGACTCGCGAGGAGAGTCCCGGTCGGAGGAACTATGTGGGCCGCTTGGCTCGTGCGTCGCACGCCTATCATAACGGTAGGAATGACCTGCATGCGAAACAGGGCCTTTTTCAATCGTCTGCGCGTGCTCACAGGCGAACCGCGCGCGGATCCCAGGGATGATCGAAATGGCATAAATACATCTTTTCTATCCGAAATATGCTAGGTACCATACCTTGTTAAACATACTCTTCGCGAATGAGTGAAGACAGACCTCTTATGGAGCTCTCCTGAGATCTCGATGCCTCCCATGAGAGAGTTCCTGACGTGAGAATGGCTGAAAGCGGCGAATGACATCCCCCGCGGAGAAGCGGAGACCCACGCTTTCTCACTAAGGTTCCTATCCTCTTTGGGTTACAGCGAAATCAGATCTCACAGCAACTGAGCAGCCGCCTGCGTTCGGGCTTCGCTGTTTCGACCAGAGCGAAGATAGGTGCCGAAGTCGAAGCTCAGGATATTCAAGAAATCGGGCAGCTCACAAAGCCGAAAATCACCTTCGGGTTCGAGACAAGCCTCCGAGAGGCAATCGTGAAACAGAGTAATGTTGATTGGAACCACATTCAGAATGTGGAATTCCCGAAAGCGAAGCAGACGTGTGATCTCGTTTTTCGAGGCTCATTCGCTACGGCCGTGTTCCTAGCGCTTCAAGCACCTCATGATTCCGATCACCTCCGTCAATTCGTTGCTCATGTTGGAAGGGAAAATCTGAGTTTGACCCTGCTGGCAAAGTACATGGCGTGTTGCCTCGATTCCGAGGAGATCCTGCGTTGTTGGAGGGAGATAGGCTCGCGCAGTCCGGAGGTCCTTCCACAGCATGCTTCGTATATAATAAGAGGTCTGCTGCGGACGCCGGAATGGCGTTCCGCGGTCGACATTCTGAAAGCAGAGCCCATCGGGACCAAGAACGCTCTCGGCGCGGGGGTGATTGCGAAACTGTTCGAAGAAGGGGCAGATTCTGAAGCCTTCGACCTGTACAGCAGATCGGACTCTTATTGCATTGATGCGGAGGCCGACGCCTGCATGGAAGATCCAGACCGCGCCGAGCGCTACTTGGATATGATCGTCAAGATGGAGTTCAAGCTTTCGTATAACTTCGATATCGAGAAGAGAACTTCGTGGCGGAAGCATTTCGAGGCGAATCGAGCGAAAATGAAATGGAACTCTGAGTGTTCTTGCTGCCGCACCAGACTGCCGCCAGGAAGAATCAGCTCACATGATTTTTCTAAAATGAGGGAGGCTTGTTTGAACCTCATTCTCAATGACAGAGCAGGCAGTCTTCATCTGAGCACAACCCCGGGAGAAATGGACCGATTCCAGAACTTCATCCGGAGAAACGGACCCTACGATGCGATCATAGACGGCCTCAACGTTGTGTACAGATACGAATTGCCGTTGAGACGCATCCACGGTCTCTTGGAAGACTACAAGGCCAGAGGCTTTTCCCGAATCCTGATTCTGCTGAGGTCTCATGCTAAGCGGGAGTTCAATATGATGAAGCTACCCCCCGACGTCGACATGTACTGCGTGCAGAATGCTTCGAGAGATGATCCGTATATCATACTCGCCGCACTCCTGAGTCATGATAGATGCCGACTGCTCTCGTTTGATTTTTACCGAGACCACATCTACCGGCTGAAGAAATCGAAGCAATTCGATCGGGACGACAACACCGCGAGAACTTTCTTCAAGTGGTTAAACACCCACAAGGACAGCTTCATCGACTTCCAGAAGCCAGGCTCGGCAGCGCCTACGATAAAGCTCAGAATGGCTCCGGCCCACTTCCCCGTCCCTCACGTGGACATTGGCGGATGGCACATTCCCTTCGTCCAAAAAACTGGATATCCACCGACGTGGCTGTGTCTGCGGCGGCGTGATTCTTTTGACAGAAAGCTCGTGCTCTAAGAAAGGAAATAAAATGACGTCGATCTGTGAAACTTCCCGAGCCCTCATTCCTCCTTCGATTACGGAGTTCGGAGAGTCTTGAGAAGAGATTTCGAAACGTGACATGATTGTGATGATTTCCAGAGATGTTCTCTACTCCTGTCCCGCGGCATGAACACTCAAAGGAAAGACGCGTACAGGCCACTCCTGTCGCTCGGGAAAGTCAAGGACAAAACCTACGCCAGATGGGACCGTATGGACTTGACAACTTGCCGTTTAGTGTTCATCAGTCCCCAGAGATCATTCGAGTTCTTTCCGCCTATCGTTATCTTTCTGAGTGCGGCGTACCTGGTCGCCGTAGGAATGAAGTATTTCCGCTTGTGTGAGTAGAATATTCGACTTTTCCGTGGGGCATCAATATCCTCCGTGAAGCCGTCCAACCTCTCCCAGGGAGATCTCTGCAACGGGTGGATAAATTAGATAATTGATTGCTGGTCGTCCCCGCTCTAAACGGAGAAATTCTGGGTCTCCCTTCCAGACCCTTTCGACGGAGAACAAAAGTTTCTCATGCCCACCAAGCCACTACCCCTCGGTATTTCCTTCATGCCGACTTCAGACAAAGAGATGTACTTGGGTGCGATAATTACTACAATTATGGGAATAGCAGCATTCTTTATCAGTAAGGGTTACCCTATGAGGATATACTGGAACGCCCGGCAACGTCAGTTCATCGCGGTGCACCGTCATCCCATCACGTGCTGGGTGAGTTCCTTCTAGCCTCAACGATTCCGAATGAAGCTTTTCTCTAACTTCTCCGGGGGCGGGATTCCGGAGCAGGATGATGAAAAAACCGGGGAGTTTCCTGTGGAGCCGCCTCCCCCATTAACATACAGACTCAAATTCGTTTACTTCTTCCTGCAGGTGAGGCGGACCCCGGTACTACCTGGCTCGGTCAAAGAATCGAAGCGCTTCGGAGGACTGAAGGATGTTCCAGGGCTGAGGATCCCGCAATCCTTCGACCCGGAGTATTTCAAGGCACCGATTTACTACAATGTTTTGATGGGCTTCTCGGACGCTAGCTGTCTCAATGATGAGGGCGAGGATGGAGGAATCGACTTCTTCTAGATTCCGGAACTTTGGGCCGCTTGTCGGAGGATATCTGATCGGGATCCTTCGTTCTCCCCCTGGACCATCTCGAGACCGGGGAATATAAACAAAGCTGTTCAGAAGAATTCTTCCCTTGTTGTCCTTCTTAGTTAGTCTCGCGCTTCATACATCGGAAATAAATGACAGACAACGAATACCGTCGCAACGTGTGCATCGGTAATCCCCCGAAACCCACCGACTACCCTGCTTCGTTGGAGAGGAAGAGATCTGTCAGAACCTCTGAGCGGCATTCGCATGGGAGCGACTAACGTCAATACGAACAAAAAGCTCGAGAAAAACGTCCCCGAACGCAGATACTCCCAGATCGCCCAAGCATACATATGTCGTTCGGCGATGACGGAACTCCTGATCGATAGTACGAGGCGGGATAAGAGATACGTCGTAGTTGAGCTGGGCTCGCAGGCGGAGGTGAAACGATATGTTCGTCCCGGACGCCATATCAAACCATCGCGCCAGTTTCTCTAGCCGGACTTCGGATAGACGATAGAATGTCGTCCTTACCTAATTTCTGGCACAGCGTGCGCACCGTCGAGCAGCCGAGCGAAGCTTCTATGACGATTCGCCGGAAGCGCGCCATAAATAATGCGAGGCAAGGAACCGAGCCCGAATGCCTGAAATAATGGACAAGCTTATCGAAAATCCCCTGGCTGAAGTGGCTGGCATATTCAATTCTAGTGAGAAAGATGCGAAACTCGCCCTAGACGCCGTTCTGCTGTACTTCCGAAACAAACTCGAATTCTCTTCGAACGATTTTCAAAAGGTATGTTGTCAGAACAGCTCCCCATGACATCCGCGCTACGTCGATAGTCGACGCTTCCCGCCAATTGTGAAGCAATGGAGAATCGACTAAGAAAACACACGAATTTGACAGATTCCCAGTTTGAACGAAGCCAACCACAACGGCTTGCCAAATGGCAGTTTGGTACGCTTCCGCGGTATGATTCAAGACATATACGATCCGGAGTACTTCATGCCGTCGTACAGGAATGAGTCAGATATCGTCCCATCGATGTTCCGCGATCCGGACGAGAAAGAACTCGGGTTCTTCGCCGAACACGACAACAGGAGTCTCATGGAACGCTCCACATGGCATTGCATCGCTCTGCCTGGGGAAAACACATGGGTTACGGAAAACTACTCCAAAACAGCTGGGACCCACTACGGGGTACCAGCGAAGCGAAGTAGATCAGACGAGATGGAGGTCGAGGCTCAGGAACCGAACGCAAGCAGACCATGGTGCTTTCCCGTGGATAGCAATCAAATATCGTGCATCGTGAAAGTTTACAACGCTGGCGACGAAGCGCGACTCAACGAAATGGTCGATCTCGTCGGAATATTGTCGCACGTGACTGACCATGGCGAGCCTGCGGACGGACCAGGCTCGGATGAGTTCAAATTCAAGAATCCCTCAACGTCTCAAGTCCCCCGAATCCACGCTGTTTTCTGCAAAAAATTGTACCACGACAACCCCCTCCTCGGGCGGCATATAAATATCGAGAGCAGTATCCAGCGTCGACGCGCACTCGACGAGGCCCAGATGAATCGGCAAGAGCTTCTGAGCGTTTTCAAAAAACTCTTCTACGGGGACGAGCACTGCGCGGAATATCTTTTGATGTTTCTGATCTCACGTGTTTACCTCCGGCACGACGTTCTCGCTCTCGGTAAATTCTCCTTGAATCTGAGGAACATCGCCCAGGACCAAGCGAGAGCTATCGCTGAAGTTCTGGCGCTGCTTGTGACCAAAAGTCACGCCATCCCCTTGTCTCTCGAGTATTTGAATAGCGCGAAGTTCGTGCCAAATAAAGACTACGAGCTGAATCGACTCCAATCTGGCCTCCTCCAACTGTCACCCGGTACAATTTTGATCTGCGACGAGAACGCGCTGAACGCTGGTCAGCTAAATGACGATGGCATCCGTAATTTGAAAGCTCTAGGAAACATGATACAGAATCAATGTCTGGAATACAACTTCGGTTTCCAAGCGGTGGAATTCCAGACCGACACCCCGGTTCTGTATCTTTCCCAGGGCAAGAGTATGGTGAACTGTGATTTCTACTCGACAATGCCGGCACCAACCCGACCGAAAGAAGACATGGCTCAGGTCGTCGAGGAGATCAAACAGCAGTTGTCCGACGACGTTCTGACGCGACTTCGGAGATACATTACGGTCCTGAAGTGGGAGGACCATCAGCTCTCGGACGAAATGCAGCAGAAGGTTCAAGATGACTTTGTGAAGCTGCGTTCCCTCCACAAGAGCATGACAGCCGACGATCTTCATAGCCTGTTAGTGGTGGCGAGATACGTTTCGCTCTTAGAGGGTGAGATGGAGCTGACGCCGGAATGCTGGGAGCACGCTAAAAATCTCGAAAAAGAACGACACTCTCGGGGTCGAATGTGATTTTAAATAAGAAACTTGATATATGTATAGGGAAGCGAGGAAGGCTGGTCGAAGTCCTTGCCGACGTTTGCGGAGAATAAACTTCTGTTTTGATCCTCAACATCACTCTCATAGATCCAGGGTTCCTTCTCACAAGTGGATTGGACGTCGGCATCGCTTCCATTCTTTTCTGAGGACTCATTGGAGCCAGAACTCGCTGGCGCTTCCTTCCGGCATCTCTTCTGGTAGGAGAATGAGACCGTCTGGACAGCTGATCCCCGGAAGAGCTTCTCTGCTTCCTGAAGGCGGCCACTCTCGCACAATGTCGAAAGTTTCCGAGTGACCGAAAAACCTGCGCTATCCCTTGTACAGAGATCGAGCCTGCGGTCGATCGAATCCTGAATCAGGTAGCACCCGCTCGCCGCTTCTTGCATCTTGGACAATAATCTCAATCGTAATTCGCGAAAAAATACCTAGGTGAACTCCCCGCATATGAAAGGGGCGAAAGACTACCCAACGGACGAAGACCAAAATCTTCCATGTTCGGAATGAGGATCGAAGCTTCTGTCGGACCTGAACTGCTAATCTCTTCCTCAGCGAAATATCCCCTAGGATACGCGTGTACGCGTAAACGGAATTGACTCTTCCTCAATTCTTCTTCCTTGTAGCGTCAAAAGGAGCTCACAGCATTCCCGGAATCCCCACTCGATCCGAATACAAAAGGGGGATGTGAACGCCGGGATCCTGACATCGAGCCGGCTAGCCTCTCATAGCGGTGCGATATGGTCACCCGATTGGGCCCACGCGTTTGTCACTTGATTGTCAGTGTACAGTGCGATATGGGAGACGCTCATTCGACCCTCCGTCTCTTGAGCGAAGTCCTTCTTCGCAAAATGGGTCTCTGAGCACAGTCTGAAGTTCTTCTCGCCAGGACTTCCCTCAAAATGCAGGTTTCTCCCGTCAGCTTCGGGAAACAGCGAGAGCTTCGCCAGGTCACCTCATGCTGGACCGGAAGTTTCACATCTGGTAAGATTCGAAAAACGTGCCTTCCGTATTTACGATCGAGACGCGCGGGCGGTGGTGGCATCGTGCAAATCCGACAAGGAGCCGTTGCGCCGGAAAACCTTCGCGGTGGCCAGACTCCATCGGGTTTCCATTTGACCGAGTTTATTCCGAGGATGAGGCTTCAAGACGAACATATTGTTCGCGACATCGATAGAATCCATCAGAAGTCTGAAGCGGGACGAATGTCGATTCCCGAGGTCCTTGCTGCGCTCCGTGAATTGCATGGCCCTTCCTATAGCCAGGTATTTACCATCCCGAGCCCTTTCCACAGAACGATAAACAGTTGCGTTGTGTTCTCTGATAAGTTCCTTCCACTAGAATACCGTGTCCCCGTCGTTCCCCCGCCTGAATTGTGGAAGCTGCATAAGATTCCGATGCGAGGTACGGAGCGTGACGAAGGAGCAAGTAGTGGCCTACAGCATCGATATGACCAACGGTATGCGGAATTTGCTTCTATTCAGACCCGAATCGCCTGAACTACGAGCCGGGAACCCCAACCTGCTGAAAGTGGAAGCGGTGAGTCTGGGATGCGTGGTGCACGAACCTACAACGAAAGCTCAAACTCCCGTAGTCGTGAAAATTTTCGACGACCGCCAGAAGATTCGAGCTGGCATCCACCTGGAAATAACCGGGATTTTAACTTACAAACCTTCACTCGAGGAACAAATCCGAAGCCGTGTCGGAAACCGGGGCCCTCTTGCCGCGATCCTAAACCATTTTTCATCAAATACTAACCCGCTTCTAGTCCCGAGGGTTCACTCGATTTTTCATGTCAGAATACCGATAGTCTGAGCAACGACCCGCCACTTCCGCGCGGATTGTGTTTCTTTTTGTGATACTTTAAGTCAAGATCGTAAGCTTCATGTGATCGAGATAAATCTCGATTCCTTTTAGACCTCTCTCTGGGTGTTTTTCTTTCACGGAACGAGGAGAAAGAAACATGATTCCAGCTTGCTCCATCGGCTTTCCAACAACAGTTCGCGATGTGCAGTCCTAGATGTGCTCATGAGAAGCTGGACTTGTTCCCGTAGAGTAGCCTTTCGGTGCCAGCTTCCAGAGCGAAGGAGGAAGAGTATAATCCAAGAGTAAAATGATTCAGACTCGCTGCCAAGTCTGATTAAGCTGTTCTCGACGGCGGAAATGGAGTCTGGGACGAGTATTCCTATCCAAGAACGAGAAGCGCATCGGGCTGGGAGTTGCGACTCGCTGAAACGGACCGATGATTAATTGGCGACTGTGTATGCTCTTGTGGTGAAATTTTCCGCCCCTCGCATGAATGGAGGGTGTCCATTGCATTGCTCTATGATGGCAAGCTGGGCCGAGATGCCTCTAGAAGCTCGGACAAGCGGGCACCTTTAGTCTGATTAGGCCAATCCAAGCAGCGAGATGTGGCTCCGTACATTATATCTCTGCTCTTAGTCCCGCACAGCACGATTCTCGCAGATTGCGTTCTTTCAGTGATCAATTTCCCCTCGACCACGTCCCGTCCACGGTCCTTTGAGACTCGATGCTCCGTGCGCCTCGACGTTGTTCATCTCAGGCCACAATGACTTCAGAAGGGGCGATCTCCTCTCCGACAATTACTGCACTTTAATTCCTCCAAACAAGTCTAGATCCCTGATCGACGGGGGAAATACTGCGTCGTCCACATACGATCGCCTTAAAAGAAGTGACGACGCGAAGGATCTCTAGATCCGCCGATATCGCGAATAATTTCAGTTCGAGTTACCCATTCCGATAAATAGAGCCCAGAAACCTGCAGCGTGCGTCCCTTCTGGAGAATTCCATGAAATGTGTAGGTTCCAACTTCCTTGCGTGAGCCGAAGGAGGAAATCCTGCAAGTTATGACGCGACTATTTGGTAGAACTCTCAGAGGATTCTTCACATGAGCGGGAAGCGCTGCGGACGCACGTGATCTCAACTCCGGGTTCGGAAGGAACAAATCATTACCGACTCGACATTTCCTCTTTTTCGAGAACTCTCCATTTCGTAGAGTACCTACTGATTGCAGAGAGATACCGAGTATGATCTCGCCGGCTCGTCATTATACAGAAAATAGTAGAAGGACCTTGGAAGGTGAAATCGGGATCCCGAACGGATATCGGACCCGAGATGTGACTCTCAATCCTAGACTCCGAGAGATTCGGACAAGCCCTATCAAATATATCGGTGGACTTTCGAGTGAATTCCTCGCCGTTCTTCCCAATCGAATTATCCACAGCATATTTTTCGAAAGTCCCTGAAAGCATCCGCAGTGGTGGCTGGCGTAGCGAATCCTGAATGAGTAAGTAGTTTGCTGTATCCCACCCCCTCCTTGCGGTCTACTCTATTCGGAAGCGGCACAGCGGTCTCGGCAACTCCTCTCACTACAACAACAGGTGTATCGGGTTTCTCGGGGCTTGAAATTACTCCCCCGCTCGAGTTTTAAAATCGCGCCCAAATCTGTTTCGAGACCGGGGGTAAATCCACTGACTGGCTCGCCGGTGGGCTCGCTAGGCTCAGATTTGGCTCAAAAATCGAGCGAGTCTCACTAGTCTCGTCGGTCGCGCGAGGAGAGCGGGCCCAGAGGAGAACTCAGCGGTTGGGTCCATTGGCTCGGCTCGCTCCAACCAAATCATGTTAGGAAACTAAAGGAGCTCTCGTTTGTTATCCTGTCTGACCAACAGGTTCGTTTTTACTCCGAATTCGGGAGTAAATCGAATCATTGGATGCTTGGCGGGAACTTGCTCGAGAACAATGAGGAGCCGTCATTCATTCGAATCTCGACGCAACTTGAGCTCGGAGGCTTCCAGGGTTGCTAGACGCGTATCTCCTAAGGGAGATGACTCCAGCCTCGCAGGGCCAGAGTGTATCGATCACTCCAACCAGGCCATCCCCAGGCTCAATGGAGGAGAGGAGCTGGAAAGAAACCGCATAGTAATAATAAACACCCCCCCCTTACCCCCGTCGATATCCCTTCGAGTATTACGCCCGCATCGAAGAACGAAGGCTTGTGTCAAAAGACTTGTGTACGACCTCGATTGAGAGCTCGCTGAATGATGAAATCCTCAGCGATGTTGAGAAGGCTCTCTGGGTCATAAGAGCTGAGTTAGCTGTCCCTGACAAAGCTGAGTGTCCGCGCCTCACCTGTTTACGCAGCGAGCATAATTGTACGTAGTGGCTCCCGAGCCTCACTCAGCAAGCGGACCGGACTGACCGACCGACTGACCGCGTGGCTTACAAGCAAGCTGACGACAGGAGTGGGGAGGCCATTGGACCATATGAGCTAATGTTGGATATAGTGATTAACTCCTCGCTCGCTCGTTCGCATAGCAAACGTTCACCACTACAACTGCCGTCGTCGTGGTCACACACAGAAAGAGCGGACTGCAGCAAACTCAGCGAAAACTGCTTAATAAGGGGTGCTTTTTGTGCGAAGTGGGTGCTCGCAGGTCGCGCGTGGTCGAAATCTCTCGTCCGAGCAACGACCAGTGTGCCGCCCACTCACTTACTCACCTTTTTTTCTCCTCTCAATGAAGCTTGCTCTCTCGAGGTTCAACGCAGTCGCACCCACTCCTCAGCAAATCTCGCATGTAACGGACACTTCACCTTAATCTGTCGAATCGCTAGTTCCATCTTTGTCCTGATCCGTCAATCGTTCCGGTGTCCCATGCGGGCTTCGCGATTCTTCGACTTCTTCCAGGAGCCGCTCAACGCCGCTCTTCGAGCGTTCCAAGACGCGTCACGATCAGACGAGATTCCTCGGAGAGGAGGACGAAAGGCTTTGACGCAGCCCCGGTCTGAATACCATAATTCTTGAGGAATGACCACTCTCGTCTCGACAAAGACATTTGGGCATACTGAGGACGTTGGAGGACGCTTTGTCTCGGAACCCGTTTGGACGGCCGCAAAGGCCACGCGGAGAGCGACCGATGGTTGTGATTGCAAATCGCTCTAATTGATAATGAATCTAATGATTAATGACCCGATCAGAATGAATGGCCCCTCTGCGTGTACGAGTGTGAAAGTCGTCTCCCCCTCCCTGCTCCTTGCTCTCTAATGGAAGGAACCTTTAGAGTCAATTATCTGTTGTTGGTTATAAAGATGACCGGGCGTCCAATAGGCCATATGCTGGCGCGGATGCACAGAGCCGAACAGCTTGCACGTCTCCTCCAGCTAGATACTGAGTCATTCTCCTCGAAGCGGGTCATCCGATCACCGCTTCCTCGATGCGAGCTCCCGAATTTTCGGCATCTGCGAAATTGTGTTCCCGAATTTTAGCATACAATATATTCTTTTTTCGTCTTCCCTCGTTGCGAGACGGTTTTCGTACAGTCAGAGGCCCCGGGGATCAATCGATAACTTCCCCGAGCGATCGCTCGACTCGATTTCGGTCCACTTCAGCGAGATTTGCACCCGAAGAAAAGAAATAAGAGAATGTTGTCCAGCCTCGAGAAAGATCTCAGTGTGTCACACGAGAATCGACGCAGGATTCCTGGAGTCGGATGAAGAGAAATATCGGAACAGGCGACGGGGAATCCACAGGGGAGCGAGCAACACTCGCTTTTGTCGCACGGGTGGGGGACCGGCATTCGCACAATGAAGCGACCGAGCGAGTTATCTAACACCGATTCAGAGGATGTGGATTATCCCCTGCTTCGGATGGACACGCGAACGATTATCACCAGCTCCACATCCGGCACATTGACGACGACGAAAAGAGATTGCACAAGGAGGCTCCCGATGAGGCTGGTGCTTGAGCCGATGATGATTCTTCTTAACCTTGCTCCACTGCATCGACGCCCTCCTCACTCCCCATACAGTGTGTATCTGTCGCATTCCTTCTTTTAGACGAAAGTAATCGAATAGAAGCGGACCCAAATCTAGTACGCACTCGTGCTTTTCCAGGCTCCGGGTCAGATATATTTTCAGCTGTAAATGAATTTCACTGAATTTGTGGCTCGAGCTAGAGGTTCAACTCCCCAGATGTTGACCGATCACAGTCTGAGCTTTGTGCGTCGAGAACTCCGCGACGCTACTTACGAAAGACTTGAGTTTGTTGGCATCGCTGAGAGTGTTTATATAATACACTCGGCCAGCCCACGATGGCGCATCTATGGCAAAAGTCGCCCGAATTGTCTACTATTTCTAGGAGAGATCGATGTTCGGCGGTAATTGCTTCTCGTTTCTTAATGTTCGGGGTCTAATTCTCTCTTTATTGACTGTGGCTGAAGCTGATTTCTTTAGATTTCCGCTTCGGCGATCTGCCACAGCCCGCGAATGCTGCCAAGTGGATGTGAATTATGAAGATTCGATGTCGTCGAACAACAGCATCGTTCGGGTAGCACTAATTTACATACAACCATTAAATCGCCATACGCGCCCGATACTGGATTAGGGAAAGTGTTGGGAGTAGAAAATGATTATCGCTTCATCGAGGCCGACGAGAGAAACTTGCCTTCCGCAGCGAAACGAACCGGAGTGTTTTCAGTCCGTGTTGAAATTTCCCTACCCAGGTGCGATTCGGCCGGTAGAATACTCCGGTCTCCATTGTTAAAATTTGCGAAACGAGGTCGAGCTGAAACGGGCAAACTGCGAAGCGATTCTGAATTTGGATTTCGTACAATCTTGCTGGAACAAATCAACTTTCTCGTGGAGGGAAGGGGAGTTTTCAATCTATTTTTCATACAGTTTTGATACAAATTCGAAAGAAGCGCGACTCGATGAGAATTCCAACGCCAGTTCGATAAGGATGGAATGACTCTCAATTTATCCTCCTCTCTGACTCCGGACTGTCGTTTCTGTTTCAATGATTCTTCGCGATATCGCCTCTGCTGTGTTAATTTGTTCGCCTTCCGATTCAGATTGCTTCTGGGTGGTCTGCGCAGATCTCTTTAATTTGACGAATTCCCAATCTTCGG